AGAGAGAGAGAGAGAAACAGAGAGAGAGAGAGAGAGAGAGAGAAACACAGAGAGAGAGAGATAGTGGTCGGGGTGTGACCTGCCAGACGTCTCAGATTTATGGTAAAGTGGGGTGGAAAAGGAACTACGCCACATTATCACCAATGAATACAAACACTGTTCCTGTCCAAATACAGTTATGCTGCAGGGGCTTTGTGCTCAGGGAAGAATATACCCGGCGCACGCATCGCCAATGAATACAAACCGTGTTCCGTCCAAATACAGTCATGCAGCTGGGACTTCTAGCATGCATGTAGCATTCCACCACATGGACAGGGTGTTCCTGGGTTCTCTGTCTATGGTAGGAAATTTGACTACTTTGCAAATCACGGTCAGATACGAGTCCACGTACGGTTGGAGGGGGGTAGGTGGGTGTAAATCTCACCCTATGCCAGGACAATGGGAGAAGTTTCCCTACCAAACCTTCTTCACCCGAATAGAACGCCTGGTCGTTATTAGCTGTATTTGGGGCAACTATCAGGCTGGATACAGGGATACTGACCAGACGGCCTATCGGGGCGAAGAAAAGAGGAGGAGGACAGACAGAAACATGGAATATATGCTTATTAATTACTTGATTGTTTTCTTTTCAGATTTCTTTTTAGAAAAAAAGAAAGACGGTAAGTGCATTCCATGGCCACAAATGAGAACCAAAATTTCTCTATCCCGTATAATCAATATTAATCATCATATCACTTGATATAAGTTATAATGCATCAATTTTTTTTTTTCATTTTTTTTTCACTTTTTTCCCCTTTTTTTCCCTTTTTTATATCTTTTACTTCCCCTTTTTTATTTTGTCTTATTGTTTTTTTTTTCCTTTTTTCCTGTTGCTAGATTTGTGTCCGCAATCATGGATGGGGATATCACACGGCCAGAAAGTGGCAGGCAGACGCAAGTTAGAACTTCTTCACTATGTTGGGCCACCGCCCGGCCTGGCACACCTGGGCCAGTTGGGCAGAGGGGCGGTCGCCCGGCCAGACCAGACGGGTCAAAAACGAACGAGAGAGAGAGAGAGAGAGAGAGAGAGAGAGGGCCGGCGAGTTCGCCGCAACCCTCCGTGCAGGTCATCCCCCCCNCCCCCCCCCCCCTCTCTCTCTCTCTCTCTCTCTCTCTCTCTCTCTCTCTCTCTCTCTCTCTCGTTTCGAAACACTAAACGGGAACGCATCTTGTGTTTGGAAACGAGAGAGAGAGAGAGTGTCTCGTCTCTCGAAACGAGAGAGAGAGAGAGGATGAACCCATTTATTTTTCTTATTTCTTTTTCTTTTTCGTTTTTTTTTTCCGTTTTTGTCGTCCACTTCACATGGACGTTCGGGCTGACTGCGCCCAGTAGTCCCAGCCTCGGCACGGATCGGCATACCGGTCGGCCGAGGCTCAACCCGGTAGTCCCAGCCTCGGCACGGATCGGCGTACCAGTCGGCCGAGGCTCCGACTCGATAGCTGCGCCAGGTACTGGTGGTTTAAAGAATTGTTTTTTTGGCATTTGTTCGCTTTTCGCACAAAAGAGAGAGGCAGGCTTCTGATCGTCAAGAAGAAAAAGCAAAGGATTTTTGAAAGGGCCCAAAAAAAAAAAAAAGCAGCAGCCAAAAGTAACGGCTCCATCCACCTCACCAATCAACGGGCTTCTGATCGTCAAAAAGAACAAGCAAAGGAGTTTTGAAAGGGCCCAAAAAAAGCAAAAAGCAGCAGCCAAAAGTAACGGCTGCATCTGCCTCACCAATCAACGGGCTTCCAATCATCAAGAAAAAGCAAAGGAGTTTTGAAAGGGCCCAAAAAAAGCAAAAAAAGCAGCAGCCGAAAGTAACGGCTGCATCCGCCTCACCAATCAATGGAAGTCAGGGTATTCCTCTGCCAGTGCATGGTGTCAGAACATGATGAATCGTAAAGGAGATCTCTCCTTTTCTTTTTTTTTCTTACCCATCATTTGGAGAAGCCGAAACACTGTAGGACAGTTGAGCTTTTGAGTCCGCTGCCGCCCCCCGCCCCCCCCCTCCCCACACACCCCACCCCTTCTTGTGGAGATGTGCAATTGAGGAATGGAAACCCAGCCCCTGCTAGTGGGACTTGGTCCCTTGCGGGGGGATAAAAAACCAAACTCTCCTACAGTGATTCCCGAATTTACGAAATCAAAAATTGAAAGTGCATAGCAGGGTACACAGGCAAAACATTTCGGTTTGTTCTTTTTTTTTTCCCCCGGATGAGTGACAGCCTCGAGGTATCATTGTTGAACTGACCGACTCCAGGAGCATGGTCCCATTAGCAGTCGGATAGGAGTGTGGCCGATCCAGTGTGCCACCGAGTGGCAGCAGCATGACAGGTTCATTACGAATTTCTGGGCTGAGAAAACAGGAGAAAGGCAAAAAAAGAAAAAGGAAACAGAGACCTCCCACAGTAAATCACGGCGGATTGCTTCCCATCCATCATGGTGGTGGTTGCAACAACAGTGAACAAAGTACATGCCACATTTTCTGGAATAAACTCGACTTCTGTCAGCAGTGATCATGGCGCCCTGCATATACTCCATGATTGAAGGACGCCTCCACCCAAGGAGACAATTGCACAACCGCAAGCAAAATACTGAAAATATTATATCCAGTGGGCCTGTGGCCGATCACCCCCTCTTTTGGGGTTGGCCATACCCCCAACAGATTGAAAAGATTTTAAGCTTCCTTTGAACATGCCCAGCAGGACCAAAGATCTCCTTACTTTTCCGGTAGTACATGTAAAACACTGACCGAGGGATCACGAATACTGCACGGCAGGATTTGGGTCACTCAACTGCCACACAAACTCTTTTCTATCCTTAGCTATCCCATGGCTAGTGGGACCATGCTCCAGGTAATTCAGAATGACTTTTATTTATTTATTATTTTTAAGAGGTAAGGAGAGTTTGTTTTTTTATGCCCCCCAAAGGACCAACTCCCACTAGCAGGGGTCATCTAGTGATATCTGGATTCGAACTTCGGCCTCTACTTCAAGTTTCAGCAGTTTGTGGGTGTGCGAAATCAGGTAGGCCCATTGGCTTCCGTTGTGGTTTTGGTTTCGCCGAAAAAGGGATGTGGGGCAAGATGCCCCTGACGATCGTGGGTCCGTACGAAGGCATGCCCCCTCCTCGGGCAGACGGACGAATCGAGTATGCAGCTGGTGA